ATAACACAGGCCTGTTTATTCAGCTTGAACCTGACGGGACTAAATGCCGGTGGCAATAACTGAAGATGAAAATATTAATGAACAGATTAGACACATTTTAGGCTCTTCATGGACCAGTGATTGTAAAGCCACAGTCCAACTCAGTAGGCCTATACCTATTAATGATTTTTTGCAATTTAAAATGTGTCTAAGTTCAAACTGAGTGTGAAGTTTTAGACATTAATAAAATCTTGCTCATTTTGTATTTTGTCAGAGTTGAGGTTTATTGAGGGGAAAAAGGTGTAGAGAGAGAGAGAGAGAGAGAGAGAGAGAACACAGGGAACAGAAAACCAAGGAAAAAGAAGAATTACTGATAAAAGAAGAAAAAAAACAGGACACTCACTGTCAGCCGGGCTGCCACCACAACACTTTTACTTCTCTTCTCATCTCTTACATCTTTTTCCTACTCTACATTCTACAGTAAAGATGACTCATTCACTTTTACATAGTGTTTTGGCCCAAAAATGCACACATTAGACTCCTCAAGCCAAATTATAGGGTGGTTTTGTTGAGTTTTAAAAAGTTACAACAAACTTAATGTTCTCCAGTGTTTCAGTGTTTTCCTTCAAATGTAAAACTGCAGGATTTTAAGCCAGACAATTGCATTAGAACGAAAACTGACACCTCTTTGTTTAGTGCCAGAAGGATCCTTTTGTTTAACTTCTTCACAGACTCCTAAGATTGGGTATCGACCGTTTTGGAGACAACCCCTGTTGTGCTGTATGACTAGTTGGTAGAGCAAGGACTGTGTATTCCTGTAGATCAAAAGGGGGTTCTACGTCTGGGGTCGACGCTTTGTTCGACCAAAAGCAACGTAGAACAGTAAGGTACAACCTTCCTAATTGGGTGACAAAGAAGTAACCAAACGACCAACGGCTGTGGTCCTGAGCCATTTGGAGGAAAAAGACCCGCCCACATACCTGGAGGATATTAATGATTCATTTTGTGAGAATCAGGACTGTAAGCTGTAAATCTGAAAAGAGGAACAACTTTCCAGTGCAGTGTTTTTGTTTCATGTTTGTTCTGTAATGCCATCTTTTCACCTATTTTTTATTAAATTTTCTTGTTAATTTTCATCAGATCCAGCCTCTCCTTTCTCAAAATCTGAAAAAACGCAACAGTTTACAGTAAAAAGGAAACTGAAGTACAAACAACAATAGATTTCACATTGCCTACTGTATGCAGCTGGAGCTGAAACATAAAAATAATTCAGTTTTTGTAATGTCAAGTTGACATTACAAGCGGAGAGCCGCTTCTGGGGTGTCGTTAAGATAAGACTGGTTATTTCCTGTGGTGGACAGTAACTTAAGTAGGCCTACTGTACTGCAGTCCAAATTACAGGTAGCCTATTTGTACTTGAGTATTTTCTTTTCATGCCACTTTCTATGTTTATGTACACTGTTTATGTTTTTGTATATTAATAGCCTATAATAATATTGCCATTCATCATTTCTGACAATTTAACAAAGCACTGGTATCCTGCAGTTAGTTTTAAATTGTATTGGGACGTGTGGCACAGCCCCACCTAAATATTTTTGTAAAGAATTTCTCAAAATCTGAACGTCTGACACAACCTGACTGCAGCCACAACAGCTTCGCCTTCTTGGAAATCACGTGACCCCCCCGCCCTCCCCCGTTGGGCGGATCCGCTCTAACTACAGCTAGATGTAAGGACTTTGGCCCCAGAGCAGGAAGAAGAAGTCAGTTTGGTTTCAGCTTCGACACCTGCTGCGGCTCTGCCATCATGGTCGCTTTAACATCTGCGTCATTCGTGGTTTTGTTTGCATGTTCATGGATCTTTGTTCTGTGTCAAGGTAAGAGGAGTGTGTGTGTGTTTCACAGAGATACAGCAGCTTGAAACCCAGATATCACAAAACAACAGATGAGTCATTAGACCTCTCAACATAACAGTCGTTGATGATGTGTAACGTTAGTAGGCTACAGAGGGATTTTAAGGAAAGCAGGTAGATGAATAGAGATATATGGATTTATCGAAGGTGGTAATGGCGCAGTGGATGAGACACATGCACTTTGTGTGAGAGACCAGGGTTCAGTTCCGCATTGTGTCACCCCTAGTTGCTCCAGAGGAGTGCGACCTCTGACATGTATAGCAATTGTAAGTCGCTTTGGATAAAAGCGTCTAAATGAATAAATGTAAACCTTCTCTCAAATGATCGTTAGGAAAGAAATGTGTGAAACGTTGTGTAATTTTACTGCAGTTATTTAACTTACTGATTTAACAGTCTGAACAGTTAAAACAGCAATTACTCGTGATAACAATATTTAATAGAGAGAGAGAGCTTAAGTCAGCGTGCAGCTGCAGCAGAGGAGTTAGTCTCTCCTTTCTGCAGCTGGGACTCAAGTTGTCTGAGAACAGGGTTTGAAATGCTGCTGAGTTCACATGTGCTGTTTTATAGAGACCTGATCTCTGCTGCTTCCATCAAAAGATGTTTGAACAACAGGAAACATTACAAGTCCTGACTGGAGGCTTTTCTCTTTCTGTTCAGAGACACCGGAGGTGAAGGTGAAGGCTGGAGAGGACGCCACTCTTCAGTGTCAGAGTCACAGAGGTGCTGACATAGAAGTGATAAAGTGGAACAGAACTGACCTGAAGTCAGATGATTTTGTCTTCTACCTCAGCTCTGATCAAATAAACGGAGAGCACCAGAATTCATTGTTTCAGGGTCGAGTGGAGCTTCAAGATCCAGAGAAGAAGAACGGAACAGCTTCAATGATTCTGAAGAACGTCAACATCAACGACACTGGAACATATGAGTGTTGGATTAGAGTGAGAAATGAGACAGGCAAAGCTAAACTCATCCGCACCATCGAGCTGACAGTGACAGGTGAGCGTGTATTTCATTTTAAAACAGATCTTTTTCTACGTTTGCACCTCCCGTTCAGACTAAAACGGTGAAAATGTAGAAGTTTGGAAAAGCTGCTGAACCCGTTTTGCGTTTCAAAACTCCGGGTAGCGTTTTTAGTGCAGACGGGCAACAACAGAGGACTTTAGAAACGATGACGCAGACGCTCACATTCGGCTCTCTGATTGGTTCGTCTAAGTCATGGAAAGCAGAAACACAATTCTACTGATTTTTATTAAAATATTAAGTACAGTGTAAATAACACTTATCTGCCTACACTTGATCTGTGCAGGTCGCCGTATTTACTTTGCAACGACTTCCAGCTGGTTTTCCAGCTGTCACTGTGGTGAGTGAGATGGGCGGGGCTAAGGGCTGCGTAAACGTTCATGTGGAATAGACCAGAGGTCACTAATAGGCGGTCCGGATCCGGACCCAGCTGTTGTCCTCTCCGGACCACCGACCTACAGCCGATTTATTATTGAGACATACCACCTGGTTACGGAGCGTTTCTATTTTAACCCGCGCAGCTTCTCTAGCATTTACTGTACTGGTTTAGAGGACCAGGAAACTCGCAGACCAATCGCATGTGCTCCAATCGTCTCGTGTGACGTTGCTCAGCCAATCAAATCTGTGCATTCCGATGCTTGCGAGTCGAGTCCGCGAGATTCACCAGAGACGTTTTGGAAACGCACACGAATTGAAGAGGTGAAAGGGAAAAGAGATTTCACATGACTTTTAATCAAGAGTGTACAGATTCTTACATGTACATTCCTCCCACGGAAGTTTAAAACCAGAATCTGTCATAGATCTCCAATCCTAGCTGGCAGGACAAACTAGAGCTCACGTTTCTCACTGAACAAGAGAAAGTAGGAAAGAGGTTTATAAGAGGGCAGGAAAGAGAAGAGGAGGTATTACAGCTGTTCATTTGTTAAGATGTGTTTATTATAAATTGGTTAAGACAGCACTTCATCACTTCAAGCTGCACTTTTTATTACACTTTTTTCTAAATTTTAAAAATTAGGCACTTAACTTTAGTTCACTTAAATTTAGAATTTATTATTAGAGTAGTTATTATTTATTATCCCTCCAGTTTGATGTGAAAACTGAAAGTAAATATTCTTGAAATATTATTTGATTTGACAGTCCGGTGTTGATAAAAACAAATTTTGACACAACTATACGTTATGGCCCTGAATGATAACGCAAGTTAGTCGTTTTGATGTTCCAGACCTTTGCTTCGGGAAATTTTCTCTATCTGGAGCTCGTTGAATTCTAATTGAATAGACCAACAGGCCTGGGGAGAAGGGGGGTTGGCACGTGTCGCTCAACCTTCTGCCAACTTTATCATTATTGGTAAAAGAGTAAAGACAAAGGAAGGCGGCCCACTGGGAACTGTCACGGTGCTCCAGACGGCCAGACCGCCACTGATGTGAATATTCAGAAGAACCTCTGTTCCTGTCCAGCACTGTAGTTTACTGTGTGGACGGATGGACAGCAGAGACCAACATGTGTCCTCTCCCCTCTCGTGGTGTCTGTCCATGCAGATCCAGCAGCTTCATTTGTCTCTCTGAGAAGTAAAGCAGTTTCATACTGTAGGGACTCTTTCCTCAGTAGAAGTAGTTCAGACACAGTCTGAGTAGAGGACGGACAGACTGGGGACACATTTGGAAAACAAGGACAAAGATTCCAAGCTTCTAGGAAATAATAAACTTCACATGTTTAATATTTCAGCTGTTTGTTCAGGCTCAGAAATGCTGATGTCTGTATTCAGATGGTAAATAATATCAATAATCAATAATCTCCAAACAAGCAGAAAGCAGATGAAAGTAAAATGTCTCCTGTCTGATGGTGCGGAGGACGACTTGACTGACAGCTGTAGAAATGAGCAACATGAAGTCAGCGTGCAGCTGCAGCAGAGGAGTTAGTCTCTCCTTTCTGCAGCTGGGACTCAAGTTGTCTGAGAACAGGGTTTGAAATGCTGCTGAGTTCACATGTGCTGTTTTATAGAGACCTGATCTCTGCTGCTTCCATCAAAAGATGTTTGAACAACAGGAAACATTACAAGTCCTGACTGGAGGCTTTTCTCTTTCTGTTCAGAGACACAGGAGCTGAAGGTGAAGGCTGGAGAGGACGCCACTCTTCAGTGTCAGAGTCACAGAGATGCTGACATCACGGTGATAAAGTGGATCAGACCTGACCTGAAGTCAGATGGTTTTGTCTTCTACCTCAGCTCTGATCAAATAAACGGAGAGCACCAGAATTCATTGTTTCAGGGTCGAGTGGAGCTTCAAGATCCAGACAAGAAGGACGGAGACGCTTCTCTGATTCTGAAGAACGTCAACATCAACGACGCTGGAACATATGAGTGTTGGATTGTAGTGAAAAACTCAGGACGCAGAAAGAGAGAAGCAGCTGAACCTAAACCCATCCGCACCATCGAGCTGACAGTGACAGGTGAGCGTGTAGAGCTCAGAGTGTCTCTTTGTCTCTCAGGTGAGTGTGTAGAGCTCAGAGTGTCTCTTTGTCTCTCAGGTGAGTGTGTAGAGCTCAGAGTGTCTCTTTGTCTCTCAGGTGAGTGTGTAGAGCTCAGAGTGTCTCTTTGTCTCTCAGGTGAGCGTGTAGAGCTCAGAGTGTCTCTTTGTCTCTCAGGTGAGCGTGTAGAGCTCAGAGTGTCTCTTTGTCTCTCAGGTGAAGCTGCTTCCTGGTAGTTGAGCTGAGAAACATCACAGATCAGATGTTTGTGTTTTAGAAAGATGTTGCTGATGAGACTTTAGAGGAAACAGCTGCTACGAGTCATGTGATCAAAGTGCAGTAGATAATGTCTGACATTCTGTTCACCTGCTGACAGCTGATACCTCACACCTGTTTCTGCTCTGCAGGTCACACAGCTGGAGACAAGGAGGGAGGAGACAAGGAGGGAGGAGACAAGAAGGGAAATGTTGGACTGATGGTCGGTCTGACAGTTTTTGCTGTGCTTCTTGTTGCTGTTGTTGGAACGATGCTCTTTAAAAAACGCAGAGGAAAAACACCTCTCACAGGAGGAGAGACAGTCGCCCTAAAATCACCAACATCAGGCTGACAGATCCAGGTGAGTGTGTCGAGCTCAGAGTGTCTCTTTGTCTCTCTGTACCACGAAGCAGGATTTGAGCTTATCCAGGTAACTTCGGGGTTTTCAGCACCATGACGATGGTTCACTTCTTACGGGGGTAGATCGCCATGGTAACTTATGCTGAACAGCTAACCTGCTCCGGAGCAGGTTATGTTTCAGATAAGAGATCAACTCTATAAACACTGTCCGCCTACTGACCAATCAGCTCTCTGGAAAATGACATCACCATCTGTCGGAGATCACACAGACTGTTTTACAGGCTGCTTCATGTTTGCTGTGTTGATGTGGAGACACTTTAATGCAGCCATAGCATCCTACACAGACTGACTGAAGCAGGCCACTAAAACCTTGTAGACTACTTGTTGTAGGTGTTTAACATGTGACAGTGAGCTTATTCGTCGCTTTGAAATATGTTTCATATTTCTTATTTGCTCCTTAGTCCGTTTCACACAGCCTGTCACAGCCGTTTTCTCTTTATCTGAGGCTGAATATTATATATAGTTTGGTAGGATTATTGTTAATAAGTATATATGAATTTGTTTCTTATGTTACAGAGACCTTTTTGTTATGTAGGGATGTTTTCAGAAAATATTGAGATGCTATTATTATATATTATTACCATTATTACAATTAGCCTCTTTTTATATGAACGCGCTCAGGGCTGGTTCTGGAAACCCTGTGTTGAATCATCAGGTTAATAACCAGCATCATGTGACCATTTAGCCTGATCGTGGTTGTTAGTGTCAGTGAAGCCAGATAACAAAAAGACATCCTGGGCATGTTGAACTTGTTTCGTAGTAAAGGCTCCTGGTAGTTGAGCTGAGAAACATCACAGATCAGATGTTTGTGTTTTAGAAAGATGTTGCTGATGAGATTTTAGAGGAAACAGCTGCTACGAGTCATGTGATCAAAGTGCAGTAGATAATGTCTGACATTCTGTCCACCTGCTGACAGCTGATACCTCACACCTGTTTCTGCTCTGCAGGTCACACAGATGGACACAAGGAGGGAGGAGACAAGGAGGGAGGAGACAAGGAGGGAATGTTTCACAGACAGGTGGTGTGTTCGCTCTTGTTGGTGTTGGTTTTATAATCTTTGGAAAGGATGCACAGCATAATTCAAGAGAAATGTCTTGATCTTAGCTTATTCAAAATATAACCATTTGTATGCACGTGTTTCTGCTCAGCTTTCCTTGATGCAGCTTAAATACCATAAACATATATACATGTACTCAGGGATGGGTAGTATTTAAGATACATGTATTTAAACTGGATAAAAACAGGCTGAGGGGTTGAGCAAATAACTGAGTTACAATTATTTTGAACAGAGAATAAACGGAGAAGTACGCTTAATCTACTCTCTCTAGCTAGTCTGTACTCGGGTCCATAGCAATCTTTGGGTCCACTGAAACTCCAAAAACCCTCGGACACTACAGAGAAACCAGGACATGTCTGTCAGCAGGCCACTTTGATCCAGTTATACTCTGGACCCACCTGCACGTTTACAGGTGGACAGAGGTTCCTGCAAATCACTCAGGCACGAGATTTAAGACCACTTCCTTCACTCTGTTCAATCTCACTCTTATCTTTTCACTCCATTACCTACTCATTTCTCACCGTGTAAATATTTAATTAAAAGCAATGGTAAAAAGCTAAAAACAAAGAAAACGAAAACAGGACGTTGCAGTGGAAGTTACCAATCTATGGATTTAATTAAAGGCAGTGGTAAAAAGAAACTGTCAGTTCTTTTAAATTAAGACTGAAGACTTTTCTGAGTATTTGTAATTTGATTTTAAAATACATTTTAATGTATTTTTGACCATCCCTGTATGTATTAATCAGAAATGTGAATAGTTCTTTATTTTGCATGTATTTAACTAAGCTGACTTTGTCTCAAAAGAAAAGATGTTAAGACAGAGTCTTGAATTTGACTGTTTAAAACACAATATTAGGAAAATATAAAAAATAAAAGTCCTTCTTTCAAAATGTGACGTGAAAGTACACTTTCACTTAAGCTAAGCGTAGGTACTTTACATAATGTTGGCAGTTAAATCTAAATGCTTCATGTAAAATATTAATCTGCAGAGTAACATGTTAACACTCTGAACATGTTTTTATTCAAGAATGTATTTTTTATTTCAATGTAAACGTCTGTTTTTCTTGCCAATAAAGCTTCTCTGAAGTAACCTACAGATTTCAGATTAATGGTCATTTTCCACCAGTTGTTCACCAGAAATGATCAGAGTTCCCCTCCAAAGCATTTTTCAAATCAAGCTCACAGTCCAGTCTGACTTCTCTCTTTATATCAATATAAAAAACAGACTTCATGTCAGTTGACTTTTGAACAGCGTCCTGCTTCTAGAGCAGATGAAACCAAAAGTCAATAAAACCTGAAAAACCGGATCATTAACTTCTTTAACTCTGTAGCTGAGCGAGGAAAGTCAGTTTGGCTCTAAATGTCTGTCTGGGCCTGTCCCTGTAATCAGAGAACAAAATGGTGGGACTTTCAGAGGGAGTAGTTTGTTATGAAGCAGCTCTGAGCTCATTGTAACTTCCCCATCCCCCACGTCTCAGTCTGAATCAGGATGTGGGTTCAGTTCTTCTTCTTCACTGCTGCTGGGTAGAAACTAACATGAGAACAGACTGCTGCTCTTTTATTCATTTATATCTGAAGTTTTATATCAAACACCAAGTTGAGAGTTTAGATCTTCTGTTTCTGTCAGACTGAGCTGAACTCAACACTTCACTTACTGAAACATGATCTCATCTGCTGTGTAAACAGAATCACGTTGAATAGTTGTGACTGTTTTTGTTTCTGTGGTCGTGAAAATGATTCACATGACAAAAGTCCCGAGCTGTATTTCCCAGCAGCAACACCTCAGACTCAAATGTTCTGTATGATGAATGTTTGACTGCTGTATATTCTCACTTCTGAATGTTTCCTGTTGGTCCTCTGACTGCAGCTGTTAACATGGAGGTTTTTGTTCCTGAGTAAAACCTTCCTGTTCCTTCAGTCACAGATTGTCTCCTGAGCAGTGTCTCCACTCGACTGTCATTTAGGATCTTGTGTCTCTCAGAGGAGCCATCTTTGATCATGTTTCCTCCTCCTGATCAATAACTGCTGGATCAGGATCACTGAAACCTGATCATCATGTTATATCCTCCAGTCCAGTCGTGTTTCTGTATAAATAGTCAGTGTGACGAATCACAACATTTTAAAGGTAATTTCTTTGTCTCATGACCTCTGATGGTGTCAGAGAGAGACAGTAGGTTCACTCTGCGTTTGTCAAAGGTCAGCAGGTGTGTTTGATCTCTGAAGCTGAGCGCTGTGACCTGAATGTAACATGACAGGCTGATTCCTGCAGAAATATTTACTATTAATCCTTTTTAGTAATTTGTTTTTGAGAAGCAGTTCATCACAACACAGCTTACAGTGTGTCAGTGGTACTTTCAGGGACACAATGTAAGTTGGAAACTAACACCTCATTGTTCTCTTTACCAGCACAACCAACTAGAGAGGAACTATCAGGGGAAACCGCAGATCTGAGTCACACTGATTAAGAATAGACTCCTCATAAGAAGCCATTTTGCAGTGAATCTTTAACTCTCTGTCTGTCTGTGAGCAGCAGCAGGATAAACTCCCTCATGTTACAGTCTGCAGAAGATAAAAACTGATTTGAATCCCAAATGTGGAGGCAAAGTGTTTCAGCTGCTGTTGAACTCAGAGTTTTAAACTCTGAATGATCTGTTTTCTCATTAGATTTCTCTCTGAGTCGTGTTCATATTTCTCAGGTGAGCGTGTAGAGCTCAGTGTTCATATTTCAGTGCAGCTTGTATGAATAGTCATTGTGGCGCAGTGGAAAAATAGTTGCATGTACTTCCTCTTCTGTCACGTGTTTCCTGGTTGCTACAGAGACGAGACCACAGAACCAGACCAGAGGAAGTTTCTAAATGTTGTAAAAACAGGCTGCAGAAAGAGGAAGCTGCTCTCAGCATGAAACTCTGTTGAAGTGTGACAATAAAACTGAGAAAGACTCTCTTAGTTTGTGAAGTCTTTATTACAGAAAGTTCCAGTATAAGTGTCTCCTGACGTCTGCTGAAGTGTTTAAATGGTTTTTTAAATATTGATCTTGTTGACCTTTTTCATGTTCCAACTGTTTGTGTCGTAACATTAAAACTCCTGGTTTTCTGAACAAAATATAAAATATATTTACCTTGAAAACTTTGTCAAAGGTAGCTTTATTTATTACAGATGATTATGTTTCTGATTCTCTAAAAGACTGAGGACTGTGTGACCTGAATGTGATGTTAACACGACAGGCAGGTTTCTAACAACGAGACAGTTACACAGAAAACACATTTATTTTTATTCAACATGACGTCTGTCTGTTGGCAACATGTTGATCACAACTCAGCTCATCATCTACAGGCCTGTTAAAGTCAGAGGTGGGCATAGCAGCCCAAACTGTACTCAAGTAAAAGTACTGTTACTTTACAAAAACAAGTTCTCCCGTAGAAGTAAAAGAGTTCATCAAACTAACTTCTTGAGTACAAAAGTATTTTATTTGATGTGGATGTGACTAGAATGCTTTCAGATGGTCTCCTCAGGTCAAGATAAAGAAGTAAACATACTTTATTTATTTGTAATGAAATGACAAGTCATCATCTCCTGATTAGACAACCTGCCACATTTACACCAGAACAGTATTCTCACTGTGTATCCATCAAGTGTGATTACAAAATACTGCATTAATATAATCGTCTGTTAGGACTCCAATAACTAAAGATTGTTTAAAAACATGAATTATTTTCTTTATCTCCTATAATAAATTATGATTTGGCAAACAAATCAAATTAGGAGATAATGCTGTGATGTTTCATAATTTATTAAATACAGGTGTGTTCACTTCTTCACATTTACCTGATGAAGATCATCTGTGGAAACATCACATCAGTCACATCCAGGTGAAGTAAGAAGAG